TGAATAGGCCAGGGCAGAAGGGGAGATACCACAACTGTTTAACACACGTTTGGTCAAAGGATGGGCTTCATTTGTCTTTGACGAGTTGTAATATGGTGCTACGATTGGCACATTTTCATATTTGTAATTTGTAGTATGGTTTTGTAAAGAATACATTTTTTATAACAAGTAAGCGCAATGTGAATGCTTTATTAGCACATATCCTTTAAGTTTTTACATTCTAACAAGAAATAAATTCATACTCTTATTCCCGAATTATTTTGTTCTACCTATCTGCTTTCAAGAGCCTATTAAGTGACCTATAAAACTATAAGTATTCATAATTATTTTGCCTTTTATTTGTATTTAATTCTACACGTGTGTTGCCCTTTTACTTTTTGGCACCCAGTTTAACCACTGACCTATCACGTTGGACTTCGCTCCGTCTTCCTTTTATGGCTTTTGTACAGGAGACACAAGAAAAATTAACTAGAATAGCCATTATTAATTCTGACAAATGTAAGCCGAAGAAATGTAGACAAGAGTGCAAAAAGTCCTGCCCAGTGGTCCGCGGAGGTTGGCAATTATCTTCTTACGTTTTTCTGAAACTTACAGGAAAACAATGCATTGAAGTCACTCCAAATGACAAGATCGCATTTATTTCCGAGGCCCTCTGTATTGGATGTGGCATATGTGTAAAGAAATGCCCGTTTGAAGCAGTCAGTATAATTAATTTGCCTAGTAATCTTGAAAAAGAAGTAACTCACCGGTATGGCCCGAACTTGTTTAAGCTTCATCGCTTGCCTATGCCTCGTCCTGGTGAAGTTTTAGGTCTTGTTGGAACCAATGGTATTGGTAAGTCAACTGCTCTCAAGGTGTTGGCTGGAAAATTAAAACCAAATTTGGGAAGGTTCAAGGTACTTCACTGGTGGGTTTTTACTGTGTAGAATCCTCCTGATTGGACCGAAATCCTCCAATATTTTCGAGGTTCTGAATTACAGAATTTCTTTACAAAAATACTTGAGGATAATTTGAAGGCTGTTATCAAGCCTCAATATGTCGATCAAATTCCTAAAATGGTGTCCGGAGTCCTCAAAGTTATACTTGACAAGAAAGATGATAGAGGAAATCAAAAACAAATACTTGAAATGCTGGGTAGTTATGTGCATATTTATAGGTTCTTCAGACCTAAGCTCTTTAACCGATAGAAACGTTATCGACTTATCCGGCGGTGAGCTTCAAAGATTTGCTTGCGCTGTTGTTTGCGTTCAAAAAGCAGATATCTATATGTTTGATGAACCTAGTTCATATTTGGATGTCAAGCAACGCCTGAAGGCTGCTGTTACTGTGAGGGAATTACTCGAGGTGAGTTATCCTTATGTGCTGTATTGCTTATTATTTTTTATTTCATTATTATTCGTTTCGCACTACCTTTTTCCAGGATAATAATTACGTCATCGTTGTTGAGCATGATCTTTCCGTTCTGGATTATCTATCAGATTTTGTTTGTTGTCTTTACGGTGTGCCAGGTGCCTATGGTGTTGTGACAATGCCATTCTCTGTGCGTGAGGGCATCAACATCTTTTTAGATGGTGTGATCCCAACGGAAAACCTGCGCTTTCGAGATGCACCTCTTGTTTTCAAGGTTAGTGTTCGGACTCGGTAGCTTATTTACCAGCCGACTAGTGTTAGCTGTTATTGTTGTTACTTATTGCATATTACTTATAATATATTTCATGTAATCATTAATTATCTCATGTCTTGTTGTCTCTAAAAAAATATTTACTTGCTTTTGCCAGTGGCTGCTCATTTTTATTTTTACATTTGGTATTGTTACGATTAATACTTTATTTCAATATCTTTAGGTCTCTGAATCTGGTAATGAGGAAGAGGTTAAAAGACATGCATCTTATACCTATCCTAGGATGAACAAACAACTTGGTACATTTCATCTGACTATCGAGCCTGGGG